CAGCAGGAAGTCCTGTGTCTCCTGTCTACCTCTGGGAGGCTGGGGTTGTGACCTGTTTACCACTAGGTCCTGTGTACCCTGCTCTGGGCTGACATTAAGGTCCTCAAGAAGTGATGGGGCAAGAAAGCGGCAGGACTGGGAGGGAGAGGGAGGGTGAATCTAGGTGAGGGATATGTGGTGTTCCCTGCATGTTCCTTCAACTTTTATGGGAGTTTGAAATGTTTCAAAATTTAAAAAATAGGAAAAGCTTAACACCTCCGGATCCAGTGTATGAGCTCCCTGCCTGGCTTGGCAGTGCCTTCCCACCCTCCTGGCAAATGACAGGCACCACAGGCCGCTTGAACCCCCGGAGGGAGATGCACCCTTCCTGTGCCCCCACCCAGCCTCCAGGGGCCACCTAGTCAACCAGGCCCCCTCACTGGGGACCCGAGTGCCACCCCCGCCCCAGGCTCCCATGGCAGCTGCAGAAGGGGTCGATGGTGCCACAGCAAAATGCAGGGGAGTGGACGCCCACAGTGACCCTACCCAGGCCAGCACTGCCTGGAGTCCAGGATGAGTGGCAGGGGTCGAGGCTGGCCAGCCCCTCTCCCCACTTCCTCTACTCCATGCCTCCTCCACCACCAAGTGGTAAACCAGAGCAAGCCCTCAGGTGGTCTCCTCAACTGACAGAACCAGCACTCCAGATGACTCAGAGCCTCAGGAAAGGAGAAATCTTGTGGGGGATGGGAATCTATTTAAATATAGAATTCAGACAAAACAACTTTTCAAGTTATGGTTACAGAATATAATTGTTACAGACAACCATGCTGTAAAAATAACAGCAAAATGGAGAGTTGGGCGCTGCGGATGTGCTGCGTAACTCACTTTTCCCAAGAGGGAGTCAACAGATACTGATTAAATTTGGAAAATGTTTGAAAACATAAGTCCTCTAAACTCTACTTTAAAAAAATAATCCATTTCCTTTTGCCCAAAGGCAGTTTTCAAATGATGAGGACCACGTGGGCTGAAGCAACTTGAGGCCGATGCCTTTTCTCAGGGGACCCCGACTTACGGTTGAAAGAGGGGAACAGTGTTTCTTCATCTTTTCCTCCAGGAGGGCAGCACCCAGGGGACCTGAGGAGGGGCTCAGGCTCCCAGGAATCTCCCTCAGCCCCCAAACCACCCAGAAGGAACATGGCAGGGGCACAATACACTTCTGTCAGGCGTGCCCCCTCACACCGCAGGCTCACCTCCTCAGCAGAACCTTGGGCTGCTGTGGACATCAGGGCCCCTGTGCACAGGGGCTGTCAGTCCTGTGTGGCTCCCTAGAGGAGGTGGCCTTTCTGAGGGTCCAGCAGGAAGAAGCAGGCTGAGGCCTCCTGGGAACTGGCCCTGGAAGGAGAGCCAGGGAGGGGCAGGATTGGCTTCCCAGGGGTTCAGGGCTGGACACCAAAGGCAGCAGAAAGTGGAAAACTCAGAGACTCCACCTAGTCTCTGAGTCAGTGGTCGGGTTTTCCAGGCTGAGGAGGCCCTGGGGGATGGAGGCCGCTGGAGAGCCCTCCTGGGCCTGAGATATGGCCCAGGCCAGGAAGCCCTGGAGCAGGGCCAGGTAAGGGCTGGTGGGGGTTGGGGAGGCCCAGGAGCAGGGGGGTGGGAATTGGAGCTGGGACCTCAAAGGACCCTGAATCATGGAATTTTAAAAACCTACCCATGGTGGGATCTAGTGTACAGCTTCTTTTATTCTCTTTTTAATTTTTTTTTTCTGCTTAGAAAAGTAAATTATGCTTGATCAGAAAAAGATTACAATGTTGAAAGTGAAAATCAGTCAGCGGCTGGGCCCCAGGCAGAAGCCCAGTGGAACCTGTAGAAGTTGTAGCCAAATTCACTGACCCAGCCAGGATGCACCCTCAGTTGTCAGGGCTACGGGTCCTCTCTGGACACGATGGGGCCCATGGTGGACTCCTCCCCATCCACCAAGGGACTGGGGGCAGGCTGTCCTGCCAACTTTCCGTCTTCTTTTCCATCTGGAAGAGAAGGGGGTGGGTCAGGCTGTTGTCAAAGGAAAAGGGGGAAGGGGTGGGGGGCAAACCTGGGGGTCCCAGCTGCCAGAGCAGGGGCAGGGATTGCTGACTCCAGAGACATGTTCCCAAAGGCCACTGGCCCAGGGACACAGAGGCTGTTTCCAGGAAACTTTGGGCCAAATCTGGGCTGAGCATCAGGAAGCTGCTGCTCCCCTCCCCGCTGCCTGGCCCAGGATGGGGCAGGAGGTGGGGAGGGCCGTGGACAGGTCTGGAGGTAAAGACAGAGAGGCAGGTTGAGAGGTGTTGACTGCCCATGAGCACCTGCCCAGGGGAGCCCATGGGGCCAAGCTGCAGCCCTTGTTCTGCTCTTCATCTCTCCATCTGAGGAAGGGTGACTTTGTCCTGATTCTCACAAAGGTGCCATATGGGGTGGGGTCCATATGGTCCCAGAGCCTGCCTGATCTGAGAAGTGAGCAGAGGTCTCAGTTGGGGTAGAAATGGCCTGTCCCATCCAGCTCAGCTAGAAGAATGGGCTCTGAGCCAGAGGGGGACCCCCCATCCTTTGCAGTGAGCTAGCTGGTGGCCTCAGGGTGGTGACTTGGCCCTTCTGAGCCCTGCCTCCACACAGGTCCTGAGGACAGAACCCTCTCTGCACTGAGCAGAGGCAGGTGGACATGAGGAGGCACTTGGAGCAGAACAGGCTGGTGGAAGGGCTCAAGGGTGAGCCAGGCCCACTGCAGAGGGGCCTCCAGGCTCTGGGGTCCCTGACTCCAGCAGGCGATGGAGACTGAGGGGGTCCCTAAGGTCCCCTGAGAACTCTAGGCTTGTGGCTGGGGATGCCCCCATCTCATGAAAAACACATTAGACACGGAGAAAAATAGGCCCAGGAACACAGACATATAAGAACCCACACAAACTTACTCTCCTAGGCAAATACACACATAGGGAGACAGAACCTTAGAGAAACACACGCGCGCACACACACACACACACACACACACACACGGAGGCCTATAGACACGCAGAGATTCACACTGAGATAATGTAGACAGATGCACGCAGAAATGTTCACAGCACACACATACTCCCCTGAGCCAGCCGAGCCTGCTGTCCCCCTGGCTGCCCAGGTGACAGGGGACTTCGGCCCCAGGTAGGTCTTGCTCCTGCCCTGCTCGCTGGGCTGGGGCCTCACCTGTGTCCAGCTTGCTGCGTTTTTGCTCAGGCTCCTGGGGGGTGGCCTCGATGGCCCGCTGAGCCTCGGGATGGATCTTGAGAAGGGCTTTGGCAAGGGTGGCGGGGCTGGGCACCCCCAGGGACATGATGCAGTGCACTCCTTTGCGCTTGGCCCCCGCCACTTTGGCACTGTCCTTGGAGGCCGTCAGCAACACCAGTTTGGAGAACTTTCTGGGCTTCCTGGGGGCTGCGGGGAAGACATCTGTGCCCGGCTCAGGGGACTCAGGGGAGGGCTCCTGGCCGGCCTTCACGCTCTTGCCCTCCTGCTCACTGGGCTTGGGCAGGGGCATTCCGGGACCGATGGCCTGGCCCCCAGGCCACGCTCAGGGCCCAGCAGATGGATTTCTCCTCCACCTCCCTGGAAGGAACCCAGCAGTTCAAGGGCTCCGTCCTAAGGCAGGAGGCAAAATCCCATTAGTGGAGATGCCCTTAGGCCTGGGTTCAGGAAGAATCTGGGCTGGAGGTTGGGGCAGATGGGGCTGCCTCCGTGCCCCCAGGGAAGGACCTGAATGGAGCCAGAGAACCCTGGGCTGGTGCTTCTGCTCTCTTGGTAGCCTTGGGTCCGTCACCTCCCCCAGCCAAACCTCACTTTCCCATCTACAAAATGTGCCCAAAACAGAGCTCTCAAGGGGTTACTGGGGTGACCAAGGTGCTGACAGCTGAGTTACTAGGAATCCAGGCCCACAGGTGCTGAGCACAGGGTGAAGTGCTTCCACAGGTTTTTCCACTTAACCTTCAGCCCCATGTTATGAAAGTTGATCTTTCTCATTGACCCAGGTTACAGATGAAGACACTGAGGCATGCAGCCATGAAGGCAGAGTTGAGAGTCCAGTCGAGGTGGGTCCAGAGGCCGCCCGTACAGCACCTGGGGTACCTTGTCCAGGATAATGGACACCCATCTTCCTGAGCACCAGTCTTCAGGGAAAAGTACTTTGGGGACATGAGCTCAGGTCACTGATACTCCCAGAATGCCTGGTGCCCTTCACCCTGACACTGTGTCACCAGGAACATGGGCTGGGCCCTGGGAGGCAGAGCTCTCCAGATTTACAACTAGATCCGGCCCCCATCCCAGGCCAGAGGTCCCAGGGCACCCAGTGTTAGGGGACACTAGGACCCCACGAGGGCAGTGACCTTGTGTCTGAGCTGGTGCTGGATCTGCCTCAGCTGAGTGGGTACAGGGCTGTGGAGGTGTCCAGAGAATCCGTGGTCACTGAGGGCTCCCTGGCTTCTGGTCTGGAGAAGCAGAAAGGATGGATGACAGGGAATTCCCTGGTGGTCCAATGATTAGGACTCTGCACTTTCACTGCCGGGGGCCTCGGTGCAATGTCTGGTCAGGGAACTAAGATCCCACAAGCCACGTGGCATGGCCAAAAAAAAAAAAAAAAAAAAAGAAAAAGAAAAAAATGGATGACGGGGCAGTGCTGGCCTGGAGACCGGGGCTCTGGGGCATCAGTGTGAGCTAGCTGTTTTGTCTGTTGGGGGTGATTGGGTGGTGGGCAGATGGCGGGGTCTTTCTCAGTTTCCAGTTTAGCCCAGAAACAAGATTGCCGCCTTGGCAGCACCCTCCCTGTCCAGGACTCAGGCAGCACCAAGGCCCGTACACTCTTACTTGGCCCCCTAGACGTGTTTCTCCAACCTGGCTTTTAGTTGTGTTTCTCTGGGCCCCTCCAATGCACATGGCTTGAGGTGTCCATGCCCCGCACCCCAAAGTCTTCGAAGACCCCTTCATCCATGAGAAGCCTGAGGTGCAAGGCCAGTGCATGGTTGGGGTGCCTTGTCCCCTGCAAGCTCCCCTTCTCAGTCAACTAGACATGAAAGCAGAGACCTGACAACTAGACACAAAAGCAGAGACCTCCCAACTGCGACAGAGGAGGACCCCCACCTCCAGGGGGTGTAGCCTCAGGTAAATGTTTCCTGGTAGCAAGTCACCTGACCACAGGCACCCCTGGGATTGATGTCTCATTATCCCTCCTGTCCCTGGTCCAGCCCCTGGATAAGCCAACCCCTACTCCTCCCATGTGGTCCTTCCCAGCTCTGCCCATCCTGCCCCACAGGGCAGGCAACATGGTGGTACCTGGGACCTGGGGGGACATGGGGCCCAGCAGTCTAGACACTTCCTACCCCCCCCACCACCCTGAGAACCACTCTGGGCAGGAACCGGTTATGGTGGGAAGCCCCACCCACAGGACCCTGCCCCCACACTCTGACTGGCCTGGTGTACAACCCTGGCCAGCAGCCCACACCTCTGTGGTCCAGGGATGAAACTCCAGGTGGTTGGACCCCTTTCTCACATCATATACAAATAATTAACTCTAAATGACCATAGACTTAATTATGAGAGCTAGTGATAAAACTATCACAAAAAAAAAAAGAAACAAGTAAATCTTCCTGACCTTGGAAGCTTTCTTCAGTACGACACTAAAAGTACAGGTAACCAAAAAAGAAACACAAAAATTTGACTTCATCAAAATTTAAAACTTTTGTGAGTCAAAGGACACCATCAAGAGAATTAAAAGGCAGCCCATAGGATGGGAGAACATTTTTGCAGATCATACATCCAATAAGGGACTTGTAGCTAGAATTTATAAAGAACACATAACTCAGTAATAAAAAGACAAATAACTCAATTTTTAAAATGGGCAAAGGATCTGAATAGGCCTTTCTCCAAAGAAAATATACAAGTGGCCAGTAAGCACAAGATGTTCAAACATCATTAGTCATGAGGGAAATGCAGATCAAACTATAATGAGATACTATTTCACACTACTAGAATGGATCTAATAAAACAAAACAAAAAAAACCAGACAATAACAAGTGTTGGTGAGGATGAGGAGAAAATGGAACCCTCATACACTGCTGGTGGGGATGTAAATAGTTGCAGCCACTTTGGAAAACAGTCTGATGATTTCTCAAAAGGTTAAACATAGAATTACCATATGACCCAGCAATTCCACTCCTAAGTGTATCCCCAAGAGAAATGGAAACTGATGTCTACATAAAAACTTGTACATGAATATTTGCAGCAGCATTATTCATAGATGCCAAAAAGTGAAACAGCCCAAATATCTATCAACAGATAAATGAATAAATGTGATGTATCCAAACAATGGAATATTATTTGATAATTTAAAAAATTCATGCCACGACATGGGTGAACCTTGGAAAGATTAGCTAAGTGAAAGAAGCCAGTCATGAAAGATCACATATTATACACTCCATTTCTATAAAATGACCTGGAGTCTGTAGAAAATCTATAGAGTAGAAAAATCCACAGAGACAGAAAGTAGATTTGTGATTGTCTAGGGCTGGGGGTGGGAGGGATGGGGACCAGAAGAGTGAGGAGTAAATACTAGTATGTATGGGGTTTCTGGGGTGATGAAAAAGTTCTAAAACTGATTGTGGTGATGGCTGCACAATTTGGTGAATTTACTAAAAGCCATTGAATTGTACATTGTGAGTGAGTGAATTGCATGGTATGTAAATTATCTCAATAAAACTTATGTATTGAGAAAAGAGAAATTAAGTCTATAATCAGTGGTTTCCCCACTTCATGATACCTAAGAATCACCCAGAATTCTTGTTAGAAATGCACAGTTCTGGACTCCTCCACCCCCAGACTTCTTTCTCAGTGGGTCTGGAGAGGGACCTGAGAATCTACTTTTTTTTTTTTTTTTTTACCAGTACCCTATTTGATTCTGATACTTTGTGAAAAATGGATGATGCCATGGGCCCTCTGTTTAAGAAGTTTCTAATTTCTAGTTCATAGCTGAACTGTTTTTCCACCACTCCATGTACAGGGGTGGACAGTCCCTCAGGCTGGATCAGTCTCTTTTCTGGATTCATCCCTAACCTTCTAGCAATTTATTTTTGAGATGTGAATGGAAGAGTTGACAGGCAGTTATTTTAAGCCTAAAACATCTATTTTGAAAATTAAATTTTTACTCAATAAAAGTTCATTGAATTAATAGAATTTTTAGAAGTGAAGCAGAAATGAATTAAAAAGATCAAAAGGCTTAATAGTTTACCTTACTTCACTCACTTTACACCCTCCACCTGCATCTCCAGTCGGATGGTTTGATATTGCTATGGGTCTCCAGTCACCCATTTATCCTAACCAGCTGTCATGATATTGTAAGATGGCTCAGTGTAAACCCCAAACCACACAATGTTAAGAACTGGCAGGAGCCTCTTAGACACCTTGGGAGGCAGAATAATGCCTCCCCGCTGCCTATCGCCAAAGCTGTCTAGGTCCTGATCCCTGGGACCTGTAAATATGTTACCTTATATGGCAAAGGGGGAATTAAGTTTGCAGATGGCATGAAGGTTACTAAACTAGGAGATTATCTTGGATTGTCCAGGTGGTTCCATCACAATCACAAGGATCCTAAAAAGCAGGAAACGCAGGTAGAAGAGTCAGAAAAAGTGGTGTGATGATGGAGGCAGGGTCAGCGAGAGGAGAGATTCGATGTTGCTGGTGTTGAAGGTGGAGGGAGGGGGATATGAGCCAAGGCATGCTGGAGGCCTCTAGAAAAGACAAAGAAACAGACTGTCTCTCCTAGAGTCCCCTGGAAGGGTTACAGCCCTGCCCACACCTTGATTTTAACCCAGTGAGGCCCATGTCAGACCTCTGACCTCCAGCACTGCATGACTTTTACAAAGCTGTGTTGTTTTAATCCACTAAATTTGTGGTAATTTGTTATGGCAGCAGTAGGTAACTAATATGAGGTCCAACCCCTTGATGGCGAGGCTCTGAAAGCCAGGATCATGGGAATTACCTGGAGGTCCAATGGTTAGAACTCCCCGCTCTCACTGCCGAGGGCGCGGGTTCGATCCCTGATTTGGGAACTAAAATCCCACAAATGGTGAGGCCAAAAAGAAAGCAAGCCAGGATCATTGCCTGGAAACTGATGATGGATTAACAGAATTACCATTATCTTCATATGTATGGGAGAGAAATACCATCAATGTCCACCAACACCTGCATCCTCAGCTAAGAGGCCAACTCCTTACACTCTCTGGGCTGGTTTCACTTATGTAATGGGAGTAGTGGTGAACTTCGCAGGGGCTCTTAAGAGCAGGCAGGCAGGCAGGCAAGGGTGAAGTCTTCAAGTTACCAGTGATACTGACAGATGCCCCTTCTATAATCGCTGTCCCATGTGGTTCTTGGAGGGCTGCTGGTGGGATGATGGACCCACTTAGATATGCAGGTACACATCCTTACAGGGAGATTTTCAAAGCAGCAGTAAGACCCAGAATGGGTCAAGAACTGCTACTCTATAGTGTGCAGGGA